GGGGGGGCCGCTTTTTCAGCGGGGGGGGGGGGGGGGGGGGGTGCACCACCAGGCAAAGTTATGCCACTGGCCAGTCGTACTTTTAGAATTGACGGTATCATACGTACAAAACGTATCATACGTACAAAACGTATCATACGTACTTTAAATTTGTATTGAGGAGTACAATCTGAAGGGAAAAAAAAGCATGTCAAACCTATGATTGATCTTACCTCATAATCTGCAGCCGTGTAGGACATTTCTCCAACATCAGTGTCTTTGTTTTTAAGGAACCAGACTCGGAATGTTGTAGCATCTAATTTAGGACATTGGACTTTGTCCTCCATATCTGCTTCAGCTGGCACTTCCCAATCTAGCACCAGAACGTCGTTGCATATTATTTTCACGTGTTTGGTTGATTTAGAGATGGTCCAGGTTTTTGATTTGGCTTCAGGAACATTTGACATGGTGGGCCGGCCATCCTCATCAGTACAGCCCTCCACGTTGACTTTGTAGTCTGCTGGACTGAAAGGTTAAAGTTATTTTACCTGGGGACCCCATGGTATAATGTTCATAAACATAGAATAGTGATTCGGCGGAATGACAGGCTGGGCGCCGCCCAGTAAAATATATTGAAATTTGTAGAGTGTAGGTTGTTTGAAATTTGACGTTTAATAATTAATTGTTTTGAGATAACTAGAAATCACAGTTTTTCCATTTTTGAATAGCACTAACATAGATAACTTAAATGGAAAAACGTAAAATGATATATTACAGAAAAATGTCTGAAATATCAGAAATACCTCAATCACAATATTTCTGTTGGACTTAAATGTGTTTTGTAATTGCCACATAGATAGAAACTATAATACCTCCAACGTATGCGAGCCTTTGCATCATGTAAACTTGTTCGGTACCAGATATCAACATCAGGATCCTTCTCCGTCTTAAACTTCAACAGACTGTATGCGGAGTCTAATTTACCTTCTTCAGGTACCCTTGCTACCAGCTTATCCTTCACCTCATCCTCTATAATAGTGTAGTCAGCTATCTCTCCTGGGCTGATAAACTCCAACTTTGTATATGTTACTGTTGCACTGCCTGATGGGAAAGCTGTGAAAGTAGAATTTGTCATATAACTATGAATAGGAAAAGCAAACAAGGGGTCTTCAGATTTAATTGAACTAGTACTTACTGGACACAAGCACGAACAGAAGGAACAACACATGCACGGTAATCATTATCATACGAAATCAAGAATTAATTTTTCTGTTTAACCAAAAAATGATTATATGCCCTAAGCTACATTAAGATAGTAGAATATGCTTACTTCGCTTACTTAGTTACTTACATTTTCTTGAAGTATGCTTGCATAATACTACTGTTACTAATAATAATGCGTAACATTACTTCCGTATAGAAAATATATATGCCCATTTTAAGTGTAAACATTTCTCCACAAATGAAACAATCTGATGTGTGCGGCTTCTAGATGGGTAATCGTACTGTAGTGCGACACGTACTTTAGTGCAAATTCCGACAAAACCACCCTCTTTCGCACTACAGTACGTGTCGCACTACGATCCAGGTAGTGTACTCTAGTGCGACAGTGTCGATCTTGAAGGTTTCGTACCAGGGTACGTGTCGCACTAGAGTATGTGTCGCACTAGATGTGACTATTTGTATCCCAGGTCCCAGCTACTTTTTAATGCTTTTCGGAATGCGTTTTAAACCGGACTGGAACCAGAACCGAACGTTATTTGTTCGGTCAAATAACGTTCGATAAAGTATAATATAGTCCGAAGTAAAGAGTCTTCGCTCTCCTCGCGTTTTAAGATGGTATCTCTCTTGTCTCATATAGATTCTGTATTCCGAATTGTCATCAAGTGAACATTGAAAAATAAGTAATAAGTAAGTAACTGGTAACCCTGGTAACTGGTAACCCTGGTAACTGGTTACCCTGGTAACTGGTTACCCGTACAGTATGGGCTGCGGTGTAAAGGTTAGCTGACCGGTGAAATTGAGTGCAACATCCGTAAACTAGGAGGTGCGCTACCTGCGGTAAACTGCAGTGTTAGATAAGTTGCTATACACTGTTGTTTATTGAAATACATCACGCCTGTGCTTGTATACGCTATGATATACGGAGGTATTGTTTCTGAGATGAAACAGCTTCATTTTCTCGTTTTTGTTCTTATAGTTTACTTCGCTGAAAGGTTGGTTTTAAATGCTTTAGGTCATAGACTAGAGTCCCAACGACAAAATCATATCACAACAATGACATGGCTATGCCGTCAGAATTCTAGTAAATGACCAATTTTTATTTATTTCAGTTAAAAGTATTTTTGGTTAGTGTTGGTTAGTGTTGATCCAATTTTAGGTTTTTAACAAAATTGGTTAAAATCACAATAAAATTCAGAAAGAAAAACTGTATAAATTGTAAAGATTTGGATGACATTGATTATGGATCTTATACTGCCCAAGGGTAAAAGCTTAAAACTATATACATTCATATCTTTTAACACTCGCTACTATAATTAAAAGATAAACTATATTACTGCATACAAATACAAACAATTTCACACATTAATAATAATATGGGCCATCAGAATTCAGATATCATGCATCTTTAAAAAATATAATCCGATTGAGCCTTAAATTTATCCGTTTATTTTTACATTGCAAACCATTTGTCACTGATACGTCTTTTCGCAGCTACAGAGGAGTTCCAGAGGGTCCAAAATCTCTGATTTGTAAGACCAGAAACCCTTACCAGCTCCAGTATCGGTGGGTAGTTTCACACTCTCATTACACTTATAACTTTATAACTTAATAACTTTATAACTTTATAACTTAATAACTTCATAACTTTATAACTTTATAACTTTATAACTTAATAACTTTATAACTTTATAACTTTATAACTTTATAACTTTATAACTTTATAACTTTATAACTTTATAACTTTATAACTTTATAACTTTATAACTTTATAACTTTATAACTTTATAACTTTATAACTTTATAACTTTATAACTTTATAACTTTATAACTTTATAACTTTATAACTTTATAACTTTATAACTTTATAACTTTATAACTTTATAACTTTATAACTTTATAACTTTATAACTTTATAACTTTATAACTTTATAACTTTATAACTTTATAACTTTATAACTTTATAACTTTATAACTTTATAACTTTATAACTTTATAACTTTATAACTTTATAACTTTATAACTTTATAACTTTATAACTTTATAACTTTATAACTTTATAACTTTATAACTTTATAACTTTATAACTTTATAACTTTATAACTTTATAACTTTATAACTTTATAACTTTATAACTTTATAACTTTATAACTTTATAACTTTATAACTTTATAACTTTATAACTTTATAACTTTATAACTTTATAACTTTATAACTTTATAACTTTATAACTTTATAACTTTATAACTTTATAACTTTATAACTTTATAACTTTATAACTTTATAACTTTATAACTTTATAACTTTATAACTTTATAACTTTATAACTTTATAACTATAACACTGCAATTCTGATTGCACAAATACCAAAGGGCTGACATGTAGTAATATATCTTATAAATGGCAATTTAGAATCAAGGGTCAGATATACAAATACATGAGAACCATAAACTCTTCCAAAGAGCTAATCCATCCACCTTAGCAGTCATACAGTGTAATATGGTAACTTATTTTACACTACATAGCTCACTGCAGCTTGGTATTATATAATAGTGAGAAATGTTAGTATTCTACTGTGAGGTAAGCAAGATATTTCAACTTTATGATTGTTATTCTTCCAGTATAAAAAATAAATTTTCAAAAAAGATTAAACAAATTTCAGGAAGGATCTACCCTGGGGAGAAGACATTGTACGGGATCTTAACCTGGACGATATAACAGATGGTAGGGCTACTGTGTTAGCTCTTCACACGGTTAGATTATCATAGTTTTAAACTAATTACAACACTACAAATCTATTACATTTATTGAGAATTATGTAATGTAATGCGATGGAAATATTTTAAGCGGGCATATCCTGTCCAAACCCAGGATGCACGACATAAAGAATTCGTTTTAACTTGTTTGTATGAAAAGCATTAATATTATTGATATAAAGTTTATAAACGTTCTAACGAGGACGGCAAGTTTCCATAAACGATATTTTATGATCGGCGCCGATAATCGCTTATTGAGCGCTTTTTCGGCGCTTTTTTTTAAAAAACCGTTTACAATCGCTTTTTTTACGATTATAAACGGTTAAAAAAATCGCTTATAATCGACTATAATTGGTGTCATAATTCAAAAAAGCGCTTTTTTGAATTATGACACCAATTATAGTCGATTATAAGCGATTTTTTTAACCGTTTATAATCGTAAAAAAAGCGATTGTAAACGGTTTTAAAAAAAAAGCGCCGAAAAAGCGCTCAATAAGCGATTATCGGCGCCGATCATAAAATATCGTTTATGGAAACTTGCCACGAGGACTATAAAACATTAACAATATTAGAAAGAAACATTAGCAGTAATAGAATAAAAATTAGCAAAATCGTACATATCGATTTACTCCAGCCTTTAGAAAATGATACTAAACTAATAAAGAAAGTGCTTATTGTTTATATTTATTTGGTTGGACACACAGTAAGTAAACACACAAGGTTCCGGTTGAAATATTCGTAGAAAAACTACATCATGAGACCTGAATATACGTAAGTCAGTAAACTTTTATGAACTAAAAACAGACCAATGTCTGAAAACTCGCCAAAATAGGGAATCAAAATCCAACTTATTGTTTATATTTATAATATGATATAGAACAGTGGAATATAAAGTAAACGCTACCATATACGGTAATGTTACCATAATAACACTACCATATAAGGTACTGATATCTGGATATTATCCGGTTGGAAGAGACAAGGACAAGTGAAACAAGGAAGTTAGGAGTAAGGGCAAATTTTCGGCGTCAACGCCATCTTCAGGCTCAAATTATTTGTTATATAGTAGTGTTGAAAGTATTAAATATTTTAATACTTTCAACACTACTATATAACAAATAATTTGAGCCTGAAGATGGCGTTGACGCCGAAAATTTGCCCTTACTCCTAACTTCCTTGTTTCACTTGTCCTTGTCTCTTCCAACCGGATAATATCCAGATATCAGTATTTCAATCATGAGACTAATAAACAGCGAACTACTCCGTTATTTGATAGACCATATAAGGTAATATTACCATAATAACACTACCATATAAGGTAATGTTACCATAATAACACTACCATATAAGGTAATGTTGATTGTTCACTATTTCAGGCGCACTGTCTCTACTGCACGACACAAGCTAAGTATTTGGGTAACATGGCACGTGATTTACAAGAGTACGGTACTAATATCAGCATCGTTATCATCAACCGAGCAGGTGGGTCTTTAACCGAGCAGGTGGGTAAATACTAAATGTGTCACAAATCCGATGCTTTGAAGTATAACTCAGCACAGAGACATTCAGACTCAAAACCAACTGTTAGGAGGATATTTCGATTTGAACTACTAAAAACTTAATAACTTAATAGCAGCTAAAATAGTAGCTTATATAACAGTGGATATACTAGTACTATAAATAAAGTGTGACGGATTAGTTTGCGAACAATTGCGATGATTAATATTTATATTTGTCGGTATATTCGTTCCAAAGAAGTTTTGATGTGCCATAAAATTAGATCCTTGGGTTGATTGTTAACTTTATATTTTACATTTTCAAAATAACATGTTTTTATTATCAATATCATCATCTGACTAATACTATGACAGGATACGAAGATTACATAGATTATTACATGCGGCACATCAAGATGTTTGACCATGTGTATTTTATGCAAGATAACTGGGAAACTAACGCTTGGAGAGACCTACGAGGTAAACAATAACAATAACAATAACAATAACAATAACAATAACAATAACAATAACAATAACAATAACAATAACAATAACAATAACAATAACAATAACAATAACAATAACAATAACAATAACAATAACAATAACAATAACAATAACAATAACAATAACAATAACAATAACAATAACAATAACAATAACAATAACAATAACAATAACAATAACAATAACAATAACAATAACAATAACAATAACAATAACAATAACAATAACAATAACAATAACAATAACAATAACAATAACAATAACAATAACAATAACAATAACAATAACAATAACAATAACAATAACAATAACAATAACAATAACAATAACAATAACAATAACAATAACAATAACAATAACAATAACAATAAGAATAACAATAACAATAACAATAACAATAACAATAACAATAACAATAACAATAACAATAACAATAACAATAACAATAACAATAACAATAACAATAACAATAACAATAACAATAACAATAACAATAACAATAACAATAACAATAACAATAACAATAACAATAACAATAACAATAACAATAACAATAACAATAACAATAACAATATTTAATCATTTAAATCATGATAAAGAAAAATATGTTCATGGGGATGATTTTTCAATTTCGCACTTAATTTCTAACCACCAATCAATGACTGATGAAAGGAAAACAACAAAGTATCCAGGGAGAAAAGATTATTTTATTTCATTCAGGAAGAAAGGATGATTTCTACATCTACGACACCTCACAGCGTTTAGTAAAGTACGCTACTGGTCGGAGTGTGTCTCTCACCAACTTTGGGTGGAAGGATGAACTGTACGATATGTTGAGTAGGTAATAAATTAGTAATTAATTAGTAGGTAATTAACAAACACGCACGTGACATTGACACGTGTATTTTATTAATTCTTTGGATTTGCTTAAGAGATTTAATTCATTGTAGAAGTACACTTGCCGTACATTTAAAAGCATCATTGGAAATATGGTAACAAAACTTAATGACCTACTTTTTATGGGCACACCAATTTCGATAAGTTACGTCCATTTGAGTGAGTTTTATTCCCCAGGTTAGGACAAGGAGGGTCTCCTTGTGATCAAGAAGAGGAAAGACAGAGAGAAGATAATTTACTTAGGTTTACAATGACTGAGAAAGGAAAAGAGTCTTTGCATGATAATACAAATTTGTTGAACAAATGTCATCTTTAACAACTTTAAATTTTTAATTATTTCCGAACTAATTTTTACAGAACCCAGAATACCCAGTTCCCTCAGGGAATCCGAGTTTATGTTTCCAAGGCTGGACCAGTGTGGGAAAATGGCAGATGTTTTACTTGACAGTTTGAGAGTACAATTGGGAACGGTCACCATTGTTTACTTTGTTGATGTGGGTGAATGTTATCTATCCATTATTCAGCTATATTAACCAAATTTTCATTAGAAATTATCTTATTTTCTCTTTGTAAATTACTGCAGTATATTATTTTCAGGCATCCGTCAGTTACAGCACATCTCAAGCAAAAGAACTAGGTTAGTTGAAAAGTTGTTTTTCAACTATATCCAACGGCTTCTCTGGCATTTACGTCATCATGTCTTACAAATTACTGTTATGGCAGGAATATGATTTTACATTCTCCCCCAGCAAAGCTAGAAGAAAGGTGGCAAGCAGAGAGACAGCCTGTAAAAGTAGTGATTATAAATGCAATAGGAAGTGAGGGAGAATTGGATGCTCTAACTAACGAAGTAATCACAACAAAGAGCTAATATTGCTTAGTTTTCCTGCGCAAAGAGCTAATATTGCTTAGCTTTCCTGCGCAAAGAGCTAATATTGCTTAGCTTTCCTGCGCAAAGAGCTAATATTGCTTAGTTTTCCTGCGCAAAGAGCTAATATTGCTTAGCTTTCCTGCGCAAAGAGCTAATTTTGCTTAGTTTTCCTGCGCAAAGAGCTAATGTTGCTTAGCTTTCCTGCGCAAAGAGCTAATATTGCTTAGTTTTCCTGCGCAAAGAGCTAATATTGCTTAGCTTTCCTGCGCAAAGAGCTAATATTGCTTAGTTTTCCTGCGCAAAGAGCTAATATTGCTTAGCTTTCCTGCGCAAAGAGCTAATATTGCTTAGTTTTCCTGCGCAAAGAGCTAATATTGCTTAGTTTTCCTGCGCAAAGCGCTAGTATTGCTTAGTTTTCCTGTGCAAAGAGCTAGTATTGTTTAGTTTTCCTGCGCCGTTTCTTTGCAAAACATTCTTTTTTTAAAACTTCAAAATTGTTGTTCTTTTTTTCTTGACTTGTAATAGCTCAACATAGTGATTACATCTGTCTTCAAACAGGTACATCAGATTTCCAAGACTGTCACAGACATATTGCAAGACTCAAATGATCAGCAGTTATTTTCTCAACTACAAGGTAGGAAGCTAACAGGAAGGTAACACGCAGCAAGGTTATCTGAACTCATGGTGGAACCTGTCGATCTCAAATTTAGCAGTAACCAGCTAGTAGCCGGGCAGTAACCAGCTAGTAGCCGGTCAGTAGCCAGCTAGTAGCCGGTCAGTAGCCAGCTAGTAGCCGGTCAGTAGCCAGCTAGTAGCCGGTCAGTAGCCGGTCAGTAGCCAGCTACTAGCCGGTCAATAGCCGGCTAGTAGCCGGTCAGTAGCCGGTCAGTAGCCAGCTAGTAGCCGGTCAGTAGCCAGCTAGTAGCCGGTCAGTAGCCGGTCAGTAGCCAGCTAGTAGCCGGTCAGTAGCCGGTCAGTAGCCGGTCAGTAGCCAGCTACTAGCCGGTCATTAGCCGGCTAGTAGCCGGTCAGTAGCCGGTCAGTAGCTAGCTAGTAGCCGGTCAGTAGCCAGCTAGTAGCCGGTCAGTAACCACTAGCCAGCTAGTAGCCGGTCAGTAGCCAGCTAGTAGCCGGTCAGTAGCCAGCTAGTAGCCGGTCAGTAGCCAGTTAGTAGCCGGTCAGTAGCTAGCTAGTAGCCGGTCAGTAGCCAGCTACGAGCCGGTCAGTAGCCAGCTACTAGCCTAGTATAATTGTACCTATTTGCCGTTATCATTATTGAGATTGAATGGTAATGATAATCGGATACTTGCTCAGCGTTTCGTGACGACATACTTATCTACGACGGAAGTAAGAGACTGATGTTCTACAACAGGTCCCCAAAGAGTGACCTGTTGAACAATGGATGGAGATCTGAGCTCAGCAAGCTCATCCAATCTGGGGATACATTCTGCTCAGATTTCCAAATGAGGTGATCCTGCTTGAGGAATTGTTTTCAGACTATATTTTATTTACTTTTAATGAAATATGATAGATTTTCGTTCAATATTTGTCACTTATCCATTTTAGAGAGCTGAAATGCAAAAAGGCCGAGGATTGGACATACAATGAAATTCCTTTCCACTGGATGACCTTTCAGAGATTTACAGTGCTGTCTATTCTGAAGGTAACTATAGAGGAATTTATATGTTGACAGACTCCGACTAAAATCAAACAATATTTTCAGAAATTAATTTGATTTGCTTCAATAATTATGTTTTTCAGGAAGGACCCGAGGGAATCGACCAGTTTAGTAAAATAAAAGAAGCGAGGTCAAAAATGGGGCATTTTCCAATAACACACATGGCGATCAACCCAAGTTCTTCAGGTTTATACAATAATTCTTTCAAACTCTTAAAGTCTTATCTGAACTGCCCGGAGCTGATTATTGAAAAGACTTTGAAAATAGAAATTTTATTCGGCTTGTCGTCACATTCCGAACAATTATACTAACACTATCAGGAGGGTTAAACTTAAAGAGTTTACTACAATTTCAAATGGATTGTGCAGACAATTTGAAAGGACTGAAATTTAAAATTCCTTCTTTTACAAAATAAACCAAGGTGATAACTAAAGGTTGCATAATATCAGGAGGGTTAGAAAATATCTGGAAGTTAAGGGAACTTGCCAAGGACTCCAGAATACACTTCATTGAGGACTACGCTGCGTCGGAAAACAGCATTATCAATCAACTTTACGGTAATTTCATAATAAAATCTTGGGTTGCATCGTGGTGACATTATCTATCATTATATTATTCATTTTGATAGTTCTAAATTTTTGTGTTTTGATTAAATTCGTGTGTTTAGATGGAGGTGGTGTTAGTGAGTCTGGGGGTAGAAATATTACCTGTAATACGTACCTATACCCCCAGAACTTGTACCACTTACCCATGCTGTTAGTATTTATGTATTGTATATGTACTATTTGTAAAAGTTTCAAATCAAATCAAATCATTTAATTAACCTGATATTATTATTAATCATAATTATTATTACAATAAAACCCTGATCTACCGCACCCCTCCATATATATACTGCAAACCCCGATTTACGCGGCTGTACCCTTTTCCAAACTCCACGGTAAATCGGGGTTTTGCTTTACTGAACTAGTAACAGATTTCCTCGCGTGAAACACTTTCACTTTCACTTTCACTTTCACTTTCACTTTCACTTTCACTTTCACTTTCACTTTCACTTTCACTTTCACTTTCACTTCACTTTCACTTTAACTTTAACTTTAACTTTCACTTTAACTTTCACTTTCACTTTCACTTTCACTTTCACTTTCACTTTCACTTTCAGGAGCACCAGGAGACGTGTTTTACTACGACAAAGAAGGAGTTTTAAGAAACAGGGAGACATTCTCACTGCACTACGATCTTATGAGCAAGATACGGGCTCAATACAAGGCAGCTGATAGGCCATGTTTTTAAAGGCATTCTACTATTATGAATAAGAATTTTAGAATGAAAGGGATCAAAGGTATTGCTGCAGCCTGCTACCAATTGTTTAATATGACATTCTGATCGAGGCGGGAAGCCCTTCAGCATATTTTGAACATTTGTCTTGCTAAGTTAATAAATTGCCATGCTGTGATGATATAAATTTATGTATTGTTAGGTTTGCAACAGGAGATGTCAACCTTATATTAACACCTTTATAGCACCTTTGTAGCACCTTTGTAAAAATATGCTCTATTAATATTATCCTATTAAGTGATCATTTTAATCGAAAACCAATTGATATACTCAATTCTATGAAATCTGTTATTTATCAATAACTTAACTACAAAAGAAATATTAAAGCAACATTCTAATAATTAATTGATTGATTAATTAATTAGTTAAATCTAATAAGCTCTCATTGTTTCCCTTATAAAATGTTTTAGGAAATGCATGTAATAGACAAAATAAGTTGAAAAAACACTAAAGAAAATCAAAACTCACTACAAAAACTAAAATAAATTCATGAATTTCAACAACAACAAAAAAGAAATAGAATGTTCAAAATTCTATACACAAAATAAATTTGTATCAGTTTAAAGTCGTAGCATTATTGATATTTACGATAATTGAAATCAAACTATAAAACTGATCTTATAGTCTTCGAATTCGTCCGATTCATCAATATTGAAAATACTGTCTTTGCTTATTTCATAATTCTGTTCAAAATTTGTACATCGCGAAAACAGTTTCGCTATTTAGAGTCACACCTTCAGCGTCATAAAATGTTTTGACAATCTGTTATTCCGTTGGGTTCTTAGCGTCCTTTTTGGAGGTTCTTAGCGTCATTTTTGGGGTTCTTAGAGTCCTTCTTCGCTCATTCTGTGACTGGTTCTGGGAAGTTGCTGGCCAGGGACACTGCGTCGGGGCTAGAAAATTGGTTTTTAGTATCAGTTTTGTGAGTGAAGATAACAATTTGCTACAATTTCAAAAAGGACTTTGAACATTTTGAAGGGACTAAAATTTTAGATTCCTCCTTTTACAGCTCTCCATAAATTGCAGTCATGAACTGATTAATCTACAATTATTGAATTAATTGATCTATAATTAAAACAACTAACTCGTGAGGGAAATGTGTACACTCGTAGTAGAGATGATCATGATCAGATTTTGGTTCAGGAGTTGGGATGGGTGTAGGAACTACTCCCACCGGCAGTGAATCATCAATCTCACATTTCACTCTGAGGGGGAAATTAGTTAAACAAAGGTGTTTTATGCCAATTTTATACAATAATAATGAAAATATCTACAAAGAACATCAATTAAGAGTGATTTTAATAATAATTCGTTTCAACAGTATTGCGCTGGATTTCATCGGTATGAACTATGAATAGGCATAACGGATATCAATAAGTTGATTTAATTGTGCAGCAGAACGTTTATCCAGACTTGCTCCTGTAGTAGATATAACATCTTTTATACTTTTATAACACCATTAAACTTACAGAAGAGCGTTGCTCCTTGTAGATCCATGACTTTCAATCTCAGCATCGTCCATATTCTCGTTTGAGTACACATTCTTTCGAGCCTCTTCCTCCAGCTTCTTCTGTTCCTCCAGCTGTTTCGCTGCTACTGGATCAATCGTCGTGGGATCCTAGTGAAAGAGAATATGAAAGGGAATGGATAACGCCGAGAAACGATATGTTGTTAAGTATTTTTCGTAACTGAATTGCTTGTGAGAAACCCGATGGTAAGGCTAAGAAAATTAATTCGTGGATACGGAAATAATCCCTGTACAGTTAAATAAACTTACAAAAGGTTTCTCCCTGTACAGTAAATAAACTTACAAAAGGTTTCTCCCTGTTGAAGACAGTGCTGACAGCAGCATTTGACTTCCTGGTGGAAGTAGTACTCCGCGCTGACTGCAGTATCTCCGGCACCTCCATACCGCACGGTTTTAGGAGAGTTCCCAGTACTTCCTCTTGTAGTACCACGAACACAATGAACATGATCGGTCCCTAGAGAGTGTTTAATTTTTACATCAAGTATCAATTATCAACGATCAATATAATAATGCAAATTGAAGTTTAATAACAGCATTATTAAGATAAAACGTATACTCAGTAGTGTTTAATGTAAACAGAAATAAGAGTGTTTGATTTTTGTCAACTATCAATGATTTGGGGTATCTATTTAACTGATTAAAGGTTCTGATAAGGGTCTTGGCAAACACGTTTGGTATTTCTGGATAGAATTGTTCGAAATAAATAATTAAAGATGAATTATAACTTTATAAAGGTTATATTGTTATACCTATAAACGGGTCATTTATAATAATATAAAGGTTTTATAAAGGTTATATGGCAACTTGGTCGTTTAGCTCCGACAGTCTATGCAACGTCTATGCAACGTCCATGCAACAACAAAAGAACCGTCTATGCAACGTCTATGCAACGTCCCTGCACAATGAACACTCTATGCACACTCCCTGCACGGTCAGTCTATGCAACGTCTATGCAACGTCTATGCAACGTCCCTGCACAGTACCATATGAACACCGGCTACTAGCCGGCTACTAGCCGGCTACTAGCCGGCTAGTAGCCACTTTTGTAATAACAGCTCCTCAACTTCACATTACCAACCGGCTACTAACCGGCACTTGAAAAGTGGTCACTAGCCGGCTACTAACCGGCTACTAGCCGGCTAGTGACCACAAAGTGGCTACTAACCGGCTACTAAGCGGTCACTAGCCGGCTATTAGCCGAGCTCTAAAGCAGACCTACTAGTAGCCGGTTCCAAACCGGCTACTAGCCGGCACTTAGAAAGCGGTCACTAGCCGGCTACTAACCGGCTACTAACCGGCTAGTAACCACCAAGTGGCTACTAACCGGCTACTAACCGGTCACTAGCCGGCTCTTAAGCGGACCTACTAGCGGTTAGTAGCCGGCTAGTGACCGCTTTTCAAGTGCCGGCTAGTAGCCGGTTTAGAACCGGCTACTAATAGGTCTGCTTTAGAGCTCGGCTAATAGCCGGCTAGTGACCGCTTAGTAGCCGGTTAGTAGCCACTTTGTGGTCACTAGCCGGCTAGTAGCCGGTTAGTAGCCGGCTAGTGACCACTTTTCAAGTGCCGGTTAGTAGCCGGTTGTTAATGTGAAGTTGAGGAGCTGTTATTACAAAAGTGGCTACTAGCCGGCTAGTAGCCGGCTAGTAGCCGGCTAGTAGCCGGCTAGTAGCCGGTGTTCATATGGTTCTGTGCAGGGACGTTGCATAGACGTTGCATAGACGTTGCATAGACTGACCGTGCAGGGAGTGTGCATAGAGTGTTCATTGTGCAGGGACGTTGCATAGACGTTGCATAGACGGTTCTTTTGTTGTTGCCCGGACGTTGCATAGACGTTGCATAGACTGTCCGGAGCTAAACGACCAACTTCCCGGTTATATAAAGGAGCATTACCTGCAGACCGGTGAGGATGATGAATAACCACTGTCCAATGAGGGCTATGGGTTCAAAGGTCATTACTCCCACGATCCAGGGTACACCTACTGTCACTGCAATAGTCACTGCTCCTTTGATTTGTTTCTGAACGGTATAAAATATGAATAGTACGTAAGTGAACATGAAATGCCTTACAGAAGTACTTTGATTGAGGCAGTTATGTTATTTGTCCATGGAATTGTAAATTCATTCAAATATCCCAATTTTGGATGTGCATAACCGCAGACCGCAGAACAAAAGCTATAGACTAAAACAATCCGTGATAGTCTGTGCCTATAGGAGTAGTTCCTGACAGTTGTAAACTTACCGCGAGTCCAGTGCTCCCAGACCCACTCCTAGCAGCCCGGATGAGCACCCTGATGATCATGAAGAAAACACCACAGTTGAGGAGGAGACAGATGTACATGGGGATCATGAAGCTCACCCACTTCCAGGGGTTTGCAACCCAGCATTCTGTATTGTTCTTGCTGTAGCTGCTCACTGAAGTCGCGGTTATTAAGGGTGAATCACAAACTCTTCCAACATTACGATTACTATTAGGTCTTGAGCTGTTCATCATGATTTTAAAACTAGATTTTTAGACTAGATTTATAATTTGAGACTAGATTTTTAAACTAGATTTTAAAACCAGTGCTTACTGATATATGGCATATCGGCCGCCTTGTTTTCTTGGTTGTTCATCATCTCTGAAGTCAAGAAAGCTGAAGTGGGCAGAATTGCCGGGATTATCCAACAGAAGACCACACATTTGTGTATGTAGAATCTGTCTACCTTTCCGAACGTTTTTATTGCATCAACAATCTAGAGGGGTGGGTGTCATTTCTCAAAAGTTAGGATAATACTAAACATTTTGCTGAATTTAGATACTGAATTCTTACGAGAAACGTTAAGTATGTTAAACTAGACAAACCTTTCCATAGAGAGTATACGCACAACAGGACATCCAGGCCATAACAACGAGGAAGAGGTACTGAACTATTATCACGCCCACGTAGCACGGCATGTTCAGGGCCACTGTCGGGTACTGGGGAAGAACATGATTTTAGTGAGAAGGATTATTGTGATGTGTGAACCGAAAGTCACATACATAATTATGCCTAGTGCTTCTTCATAATTATGCCTAATTATGCCTAGTTATGCCTAATTATACCTAATTATGCCTAGTGCTTCTTCATGTATTTCAAAATATTTCTAGATCTTCTTACCCCGAACATATCCACATGGACTTTAGTTTTCTTGATCTTGCTGAGACACATAAACCCAGTATTCGCTAAGATAAGGGACAAGACCAGCTGAGTTTGGAGAACCACAAGCCGTTTCTTACGATACTTCCTGTAACACAGAATATGTTAAATTTAAACTGTTTTCACAACCACAATTAGATATTATATTTATTGAGGACGTTACAGAAAGAATTAATTTAATGTAATCCGAGGTCCCAGCTCTCCTTGCGTCCCTAAGACGGCGTTTCTCTTGTCGCATTTTATGGAAGGTTTTGAATTCGATCCAGTTTAATACAATCGTATAGTGTACAAAGCGATAAAATTAATAGTTTGTTAGGATGTCGATGCAGTTTGGATACTATTCCATTATATCGACCCTTACTATTTTATCATCTTAAAGGTGTCTGCTCACTATCTCACTATCTTATTATTATTAGCTTACTTGAAAGGAGCTATGGCGAAGAAGGTGATGACGAGGAAAGTAACGTTGATACAAAACATGATGAGTGTGGCGTGCTCCTGGGAGTGGTCTACGATATCTGAAATACTCTGAAAAGGAGGACTAATTACAACACAAAAGGAGAATTTGTTAACTAATTAGGTACAACACTACAAATCGATTACATTTATTGAGGACGTTACAGAAGGAATTGATTTAATGTAGTCCGAGGAGATCTAACTCTATAAAGATAGCGTTTTTCTTGTCTCATATGTTATGAATCGTATCAACCCCTTTGTAGTGTTTCCCATAAAATATTGTATTTTTCAAACGCTTACTTTTTCCAAATCATTTGACTTACGAGTAAGATAGCGAAACTTGTGTCGTGATTAAATTTGACTTACGAGTAAGATAGCGAAACTTGTGTTGTGATTACATTTGACTTACGAGTAAGATAGCGAAACTTGTGTTGTGATTACATTTGACTTACGAGTAAGATAGCGAAACTTGTGTTGTGATTACATTTGACTTACGAGTAAGATAGCGAAACTTGTGTCGTGATTAAATTTGACTTACGAGTAAGATAGCGAAACTAGTGTTGTGATTACAGTGGCATCTAACATTTCCGTCCAGGGGATCTCCGTGAATACTGGTGGTACACCCTTTACTGCTCCACTTTTGTGTTGTGGTGTTTAGGAAGGTACATGTTCGTTCAAGTTTCTTATTTCTGGGAGAAATTTAGAGTTTAAGAATCATCTAATCGAAATTAAATGCCATTTTTTGGCTTTCGATTTACCATTTCAAATCTCATGGACAAATGGCTCAATAACTAAAATGATAATGCAGTAAACTGAGTTACTAGGTTCACTCACTTATTTGATTCATCATTATTCCTATTGGTCTTCATTGTGAGACTGAACTGTACTTGTGATACTTCCTTGAACTCGAGCGATACAATCGCAGAGTTCAGTGTCCTGTAATTGATTTGTGGTTAATTCCCTTGAAATTTCCTTCGAATCAAAAATTTGAAACATGATAAAATTAATGATATGATTTGTTACTTTCAGTCATAACTGTAATCTTTATCAGATCCTTACACATCGTATAACAGCACTTAGCTCTTAGAAATATAAATAATATTACTAATCAATATTACTAATTAATATTAGTAAAGCAGAGACTAATCCTAACCTGTTGACTTTGACAGGTTCCCCGTCAGCATCAGTCTCATCAGTCTCAGTCACATCATCCTCATCTATAGCAGTATCAGGGTCAGGGAACATGTCCTTAGCGTCCTCACTGAACACAGCTACTGATGCTCCAGAGGCTGTCATGTCTCCCAACGCCAGCTGAAATTAGTGTATTTGTTAGGTAGACGCTTGGAACGTTAAATATTTATGATACATTTTGACTTTTGAGGTTAAGTTATTTGTTTTAGGGAAAGATTGGACTTGGGCATTGTTTTTAACTATCCTTGTTTAGAAACTTTAATTGATAATGATAATGACAAATTTGATAACATTGCAGATGTAGTGGAATTTTCAACAAAATTCCAAGTTACCTTGGGTGCATCACCTTCCGCCATCCCTGCAGGAACAGGTAAAGAAATAGACTCCTCCTCCTCCTCTTCATCTCCAGTGTTATCAGAACCAGAAGATGTGCTGTTACTTGATTTTACTGATGGTTTTGAAGGATTCATGCTGATACTTCGTACAGCAAGAGTAGAAGTAACTATTGGTTCGTCGTCACCTGAAAGTTAGTTTGTAAACTTGGTGCGAAACATTTAACGTTTATTGTGTGAGACATGATGAAATTGCGCTGAATTATTATATCTTACATTCCCTGATTCTGAAACGTGAATGACCATCAGATTCAAAGTTTCATCATTCCAACTTTCACTATAAATCTTCATTTAAAAAATGCAATAAACAAAATAGGAGCCTCTCAATTCCCACCATCTTTACTTTTTTGGAAAAAAATGTGGATGGCAAAAAATTTAATGAACAAAATAAGAGCCTGTGATTAGTTCTTACCTTCCATGCTATTAGCCAATGCCTCCACAGAGTGAATTATACTCTCTTTCTGTGTATCATCCACTGTCTTCAGAGTATCTTTACCCGAGGCTGCCACTTTATCGATTGTCTTTGCCATTGTAGTTTTCTGTGAGAAGTGTGGTTTAGCTTAAAATGTCGATAACAAATAGCGGCCATTCATAAATTTAAAATCTAAAGCAAGGTTCTTTATTTAACACGAACATCTCAATAAGTCCATAAAAGTTTTCCTGATGAACGTCAGATGTTTATTTAAAAATAAATTATGATCATAAACTATATATTCTATTATAAATTATAAACTTACCAGCGCATTAGTTGCTTCCTTCATCTCCTTCTTCTCCTCCTCAGTTTGTACCGTGCCATCCGCTGCAGGCTTCTTTTTCGGTAGCTCTATCATACTCTTGATAGAGTTTAGAGTTCCTGCAACGTCTTTCACATCTCGAGATGTCAGCTGCACTTCAGTTCCGTTTACCTTCTCGTCCTTTATAATGTCTTCCATCCCCGAGGAAAGCATTTTCATTGAGTTGGCAAGTTCTGTGTCATTCTGAAAAGAATTAAATTTAAATTCAAATTCAATTTAACGTTTAAATCAGATTATGATTTCAGTTAACAATTAGAATTTGAGTCAGTGATATAGATAACTTTTTCTTTTTTTAACTCACCAAAGAGGCAAGTTTCTCTGGACTGTTCAGGATGTCAGTCTGCTGCTTCAGCGCGTGTAGGGCTTCAGTTTTTGCTGTAGGGCAAGCTCCATAGTTTGGAGTGTCCCATCTGGCAACGAACTTACCCTCGTCGAATATACAGTGACGGTACACCTTATCTTCTGCACTCTTTGTATTGCTGTAAGAGTGAACTTTAGAAGTGTGTTTGTGTGAGGGTGTAGACTGAACTCCAATTAGTATATTTTACACTAAATTTAAAAGTTTATTGATGGAATGATTTTACGCGGATACAATTCAATTGAACTTCGGTCTTCTAATTTCACATCAAGTGTTGATGCTGTTATTTCATACAAAGGAAGAAGTTGTACTTACTTAAGATTACAAAGTATATAAAGAAATAAAGGAAGAAGTTGTTCTTACTTTAGGTTACAAAGTATATAAAGAAATAAAGGAAGAAGTTGTACTTACTTAAGATTACAAGGTATATAAAGAGAGAAAGGAAGAAGTTGTACTTACTTTAGGTTACAAGGTATGTAAAGAAATAAAGGAAGAAGTTGTTCTTACTTTAGGTTACAAGGTATGATGAGGGTCTCTCCAGCAGCTGTCTCTGAGAAAACGAACGGATCCGGACGTACTTCTATCATCAAGGCAGTTTCTTCTTTGCAGCCAAGACCTGAGTAAACGGCATTGTGAACAATCGTGATAGAACATTATCAAACATCGTTATATTTATAGAAGATAGATTCTGTGTTATTTTGCGATTTAGGGCGAATTGGTGCGATGTAAAATTGTATATTCCTTATACCTCACCTGCCGTTTTAAATGAAATGAAGATTATTTTATATATAGCAATTAGTCTCCTTATCATATGCTCATATGGTTATATTCAGTCAGTATTAAAGTAACGTTAACCAGCGTATAATTATAAGTATAACACTCGACCTCTGCCTGATCCAGAGGATATCACCATTTTACCTTCACACAGACATCGAACGCTGTAAGAAGATGATGATCAGACCTCATTATAACTATAATTAGTATAATTATATTTGAATTACCTTCACAAACGGTGGCACCATCCAGTATCTTGCCTCTTGCGCATATCTTGCAGTAAGTCGCCCCTTCTTCGTTCTGGTACTCCTTCCTATCTCTATCACAGAGAGTGCACGTTTTTGCAGATCCCTTACTGAAGTGACCTTTCTGGCACTTTACTGGTGGTTTCTCCACAGCTGAGTGAAATATCACAATGTTATATCTTAAAGGCTAAAAACACGAACATAAGATAAGTGATATGAAAGTGGGAACTGCTGAAAAAGCTTTACTACCATAAAGCTGTTGGTTGGGAAAGATACTACAATTATATTTATTTATAGCAATGTTTCAACTATATATGAAACATGGTAAAGTTTGAATATTTACCCCCGTTATCAAGCTCATAACCAGGATTAACAGCTTTGCAGAAACTTCCCCCTTCTTCGTCCTGATAGACTCCATCCTCTGCGTTACAAAGGACACATGTGTAGTCCTTGCTGTATTCCCCCGCAGCACAGATTGTTGGTGCTAATAATATGTTATAAATTAATCAATGATTTGGTAATTATATTTATCAATTTTAAATAATACTGGAATTATTTAATGATAATACTGATAGTGTGGCGAAGTTAATTAAATCATCTACTTTTATATTAAGTTAATTTTATTAAGTTAATTAAGTTATACCCCTTTGATAATTTCACTACTGATTTCACAACTATTTTCACTATTAATCAGAAAATCATAAGTATAAGAGTATTAGTAAGAACCCACGATCATATCCGTTTAGCGCAGAATAGCCAGGTTTGACACGCTCACAATAGTTCTTCCCTGTCTTATCCTGGTATTCCCCATTTTTTGGAATACAAAGTTTGCATACGCCACTTTCTTCCCTGTAACCAACTGGACAATCCTCAATTCCTTTTCCTAAGCGAAAAATTATTTTTAGAGTTTCAGGTGATGGTCACCAAGATATGTAAACAATTTACAAACTTTTTCTTGAAAAGAGAAAGTACACTGCAATTAAACAAACAAACAAAAATAATCATAAGTATAATCAAAGAGTTTACACTTACGTTCGTCTATTGCTTTCTTTCCAGGCGGAACATCGACACACTCTTCTTTACCCGGTAAGTTCTGGTAGGTACCCATATCGCAGGGCCTACATTTTATAAACTTTTCTTCTTCTTCAATGATGAAGAAAACTGCTCCACGGGCTGTGCCGGCTTCGCACGCTTTTATGACAATGGCTCCTTCATCCGCTGTTGAGATATCATTTTGGTATCATTTCTTTTTAAATACAGCAATTCTTTTTAAATATAATTATGATTTAGTTCCTTTTTAACATAATCAAGTGTTATCGACTGCTTCATGTTATGAATATAACAGTAGAAGTCAACAGACTTAAACTCTTTTAAAATCATTAAGAAACGATGCAAAAGAACTTGAAAAAAGAAATAAATAAAAGAACAACTATTTAATAAAAATAAAGCAAACACCGACCTACTACGGATCCTCCGGGCACCTCTCTACAAGTAGGTTTCCCCGCCTCGCTCTGGAACTGACCCTTCTTCCAATCACACTTTTTACATTCAGTGAACTGTGTTTCTCCTTCAACGAAGAATGCAGGCCCTCTAGCAGTGCCCTCGGCACATGGTGTAACCGCAATTGCTGCTTCTCCAGCTGAAAATATATTTGTTGTAGACTTTAATTAATAATTAGGAGCTTGAAATTATGGATTTATCTTTCTGGCTTAATACAAGTGATCAGCAATGAAACATTAGCTAATTGGATAGGTAATTAGATCGAGTAAAACACTAACCCACAATTACAGATCCTTCAGATACTTCTTTACAGGTAGGTTTTCCCGGCTCATTTTGATACTGACCCTTTTTCCCATCGCACTTCTTGCATGCGGTGTACTGTGTTTCTCCTTCAAGTTCAACGAAGAATGCATCCCCTCTTGCAGAGCCAGCCTCACAAGGTTTCACCGCGATTTTGCTCTCTGGAATTAAATATAATAGAGTAAAAAAAGCTGTAAAGGTCAAGCTGTGAAAGCGACTTACTTATAACAATTAGATTCAACAATTAACCTAGTTAATTAGCAAGCGTCACATTTACTTTTTATCCAACGCGAAAAATAGTTAACATACCAACGTAATAGCCTTGCTCCACATCTTTACAGTGAGTCTGCCCAGGACTGTCCTGATATTTGCCTGATTCAGGATCACAAGGAGCACACTCTGTGTACGTAGTGTCTGACACGGTTCTGTGGGTCCCCGCCGCGCATTCAGCTACTTCTGTTGCTCCTGTTGTTTCTCCTGAAGAAGTACTGGGTAAGGGAGCGATGTTGCACTGGAAATATGTGCTCCTACTTATTACGTTAAAACGAAGTATGAAACCAAAAATTCCAACAGTATTACTAAATTTCTACTTTATAATTTCTAATTTACAAATTATAATTTCTACTGACCTTCAGGGGTAATGACATAGAAACCAGCTTCGACCTTTTTACTGCTGTTTTGGCCCTGTGTGTCTTGATACAAGCCCTTTGAAGCATCACAAGGCAGACATTTCCAATCAGTTTCTCCTTTGTTACCATACGTTCCCGCAAGGCATTCTTTCTGACTTATACCTGTTAATTAAGTAAGTATTATAACTAGGAGTGTATTAATATTTTATGTTGTGAAATTAAGGAAGGTTCCTGCAAACCAATAATTCATCTGGAGCTTCTTTTTATTTTGTTGTTTGAATTTATTAAATTATTACAACAAACAATGTTTGTTGTAATAATTAAGTAATAACATAAGCCATTAGGAAAGTAAACTATTACACTAAAAATGAAATGTTTTCAATTGAAATTAATTCTCTAACCTCTTCCTGTATTAAAGCTATCAACCACAATCTCATATCCAGATTTTACGTCTTCACACTTCTCAGCGCCCTCTCCGTCTGAATACTTTCCACGACTGGCTAAGCAATCAGAACAAGATGTTTGACCTTCGATGTCTTGATACTGTCCGGCTTCACACTTTTTAAACCCAGAAACTCCTGCAGCTGTAAGATATCAGTATTATACCTCCTTATCTGGGTATCACGTGGTGTTATGAAACTTTTTCTTATGTAAATTTCGGAGCTTTCTAAAATTATACAGTTCGAGATACTGACAGTTTTTTTTTAATTGTTCATGCAGTAAATCAATATTATAATAATTTAAGCATTAACGAAATGAAAGTAGGGAGACAGGATAAACACATACCATCTGTATACGAGCCTTTTGGACAATCTACACAAGCCCCGCTCTTGCTATACTTCCCTGGAGTACAATCAATACATTTACCATCGGAAATACCTTTTCCTGCAGGACATGCACTGCACGCGTTGTCTGAAACATGCCTGAAAATGTGGACACTGTTTTAGGATCAACGCAAGGAACTACGAATTGGTAATTGATACTAAGTCTACATAATTGATAATTGGTAAATGATGATTGGTAATACTACATATTGCGTGATTTATTGATGTCCAGGGTGTCTAAACTGATTGAAGTTAAAGGAAAATATCTATTATGATATACAAATATAATGTGCAGACTTACCCTCCGCAGAAAAGACATTCAGAGAATCCCACCGCTGGGGTATACTTGTTATCACTCTCCAAACATTCTCCGCAAATGTCTTTTGCTCCAGCTGTGGTAAGTTATTTGATGAAATTTTCGGGTTTATTATTATATTATATTATTATACCTCATGGTTAATAATAATATATTTATTTCAATTGATAAGAATATTTGCAGAAAATTATTTAGATACAAAACTACAGTACAGTTATAAAATGCCAATTGGATACAACAAACAAAATACAAGGGCAGGTCTCTCCCGCAATTTGGAATGACCTGAGGTGCTTATCTCATTTTCATTAACCCTAAGCCACTCTGTGCCGAGGCACTACCTATAATATACTAGCATACTAGCTGTAGGGGGGTTAGTCCTACGAGCCAGGGAGTGTGTATCACCAGCCGAAGCTGTACCAAATCACAGCTTAGTAACTGGCCGACTTGCATCCGACCGGATTTGAACCCGGGCCTTCTGCTTGGGAGGCGATCGTGTTACCATGACTACACCACCCGGCCGACAAACAAGGTGGACTTGAAGCTAGTTCAAAAATTAGGGACAATTTCTGGTTTAATCACGTCATAAAATGTTTGACAATGCCTAACCCTGTATCATCATGAACTGAAGATATTTTGGACTTACCACTGTATTTTCCAATCTCACAAGGTTCACATTTGAAAATGCCGGACGACGCGGCCGTTTCTTTAGCGTAGGTTCCTGCAGGGCACGATGGACAACTCCATCCACCTCTAATGAACTGAAGTGGGAAAGATTAATATAATGAATATAATAAATAATAACAGGAAGCGATGTGACAGAGTCGATATATCTTACTGCTTTACTGTTGTCATAGGGTGGCAATTCATTGCATTATTTGATGCGCAACTCAGTAGTGCATCCCGCTACAAGAAATATAATCATCAGTAGTACAAGTGGCATACCTGTCCTGTACAAGTGACATACCTGTCCCTCTACTCTAGCAATGCAGTTTACACGAGCCTTGTCCGGACACATCGTCCCTGTCTCCCTGCAAGCCTGGCAACCATGTAGCTGATTAGCAGATTCTGGTCTCACTCCTAACTGACACGTAGTGCAGGCTCCAGTCTCAGGGTCGGAATACTGACCAGCGGGACATTCGGCTGAGTAACACAGTTATAGTGACTTACAATGAGAGTACGTGCTAAAGAGGTCACTTATAAAGTTCATAGAGTTCAGACAAAACAGTGCTAGAAGCTTGCATTTCGTTAATTTTAGATTATTATAGAAGCGATAATTAAATATCATAAACTGCCAATATCTCGGTAAATGCAGCATTTTCACGAGCTTGAATCTTAATTTTTAATTATAATTAGTAATGAATTACCGCACAGATTTTACTTACGATAAATCGTTAACATTTTCACTTTGTTGCCCCTGTTAGAATCGTACAAGGTGAAAGCATGTGGCGATGTTATCTTCGCTGATTTAAGGAAAACTGTTGTCTTTTTGGTCGCTGTAAAACCATCATTCTCAATAAACTGAAGAAGTGAATAATTTTGAATAATTCAAATCGAAATTGATCACAAAACAATTCACGATTTGTGAAATGTCACTTAGGAGGGTTATACCTTATCAAACATAAATTTCACGGAATTAAAAATGCTTTATTTACCACATCCCCATTTTCATCCTCAAACTCCAATGTTGCTGAGAGAGTATCAGTAATGCGAGGCTCAGCACTGTCTCCGTAAAGCTGGAGTTTGAACGTAGGATTCTTACCCGTACTGCCCACTAGCGTGTAACGTTCCCCGTTCTCGTACTTCAACACGTGGGTGCTTGATATCACAACAGAGTAGTCTGAAAATGTACATAATATGTTAATGAGGTTCATAATGATTATCTTATCACAGCCTCCACAGACCTCCAGCTCCATTCAATCTTATAGCAACGCATCAGAAACAAATTGATATCTTCGAAATTTAGCGCTTTTCAGTCCTACTCAATATTTTATTTACCTAGTGCTTCAGCGTAGACGAGCTTTGAATCAGACGCCTCCTCATCAACAGTTACGTCACATCTGAAGGCTGCAGTTTCTGTTCCGTCGTAGTTGATGTTGGCCTTTATCTTCACTTGGTCCCCCATGATTGTCCACCTGTCAATCTGCCCTGCTCCGTACACGCATGAGGTATCTAGGAACGCCTTTTCTCCACTTACACTGGTGCAAGTAGCAGTTTCTTGTGTCCCTGTCTTTGTCACTGTCAGGACCACTTTGTTGTTTACCCATAAGCCCGGTTCATTGAGCTCACAGGTAACTGTCTTGAATCCTAAAGCTCCTCTTTTGAAGTTCGTTCCGACCGTGGTCAATTCTGAGAATAGGATTTAATGAGAAAATGCAATGGTGATATTAATGTTCGCGTTTATGAATTGACACAAAAAGCTTGAATAAAATAAAGCCACAATCTACTGAGAAATCTTGATAAAATAAAAATAACTCACCAACACAAGTTCACAAAATTTTCTCAGATCAGTCTGTCAGTTTGTGTGTGGTAAGTCTGTCAAGTATAGTTTAGTTTCCAAACACCACCCAGTACACTCTCACTCGAGACTGACAAACCTTTGGGCTAAGACCCGTCAGAAGCACAGATACCCTCTACTAGAGTATCTCTAGAGTACCTCTACTATAGAGTACCTCTAGAGTACCTCTTATATTAGGGGTCGTCTCTAGAGTACCTCTATTAGAGTAAGGTCGTCCACATATTAGGTAATTAGGAGAGGGTTCCAAATGATTACATAATTGTAATCATGACACGATAGTTATATGTCAAATTGATTACGGAGGAATGGAGGGTAATATGTGAACGACCAGTTAGAGGGTACGGAGTGGGTGTGGACTGGAAATGTTCAGAATGCCGTCCCCGGGTGGCACCCACTGAGTGGGAGAACCGGACCCACTATACTTTGCTGCCCCTCCTACACCTAGTAGGTCCTCTTGAGGCTACTTGGTGCAGTGTTTGGGGAGTGACAGCAAGGAGACATTTAGTATGACTATGGTAAAATCATGGTTAATCAAGAAAGTGGAGATTGTGGGGTTTTCGGAGGTAGTTTTAAGCACCGAGCCTTTACAGGAGAAAATTAGTTATCTTTAGCTAAGAGAGAGCAGCAAATCCAAAACGATCCTTAAGGAAATGAGCCGATTTACATGGCGCACGTGCGACGTGCGTACCCAAAGGAGCAACCATTCTATTTTTAACTTTGCTTGTTTCTTATTGGCTGAGCCAGCGTACCACGTGTCCATGCTCGGCCAATAACAACACAACAAGTGATGGGTCAACCAATCGGGAGCAACCAGCCTCAGGATGCACCCAATAACAGCTCAGCAATGGAGAGGAGCTGGGAGGAGCTGTATTGCTTGCGGAGGAGCACGTGGGATTATTACACCACGTGACTCCGTGACGCACGCACCAAGGAGCAGCTTATACCACATTTAAAGGAAACAGATGCTTGTAGAACAATGACATTAGTTTAGAAAGAGGGAGGACAGACAGGGGAATGTGTGCTGCCCGAGTAACCCGGGGCTAACGAGGTAACACTTCCCCTTTATATAAGTCTATATTTAGTACCTGCTATCTATTGCATGCGGAGGGTAGCCCGGGGCTAACGAGATAATACTTCCCCCTCTATACTTAGTGTCTGCTATCTATTGCATGCGGAGGGTAGACGTAGCTAGTATTGCTTGTAGAGTATAGCTAGTGCCTCCGGAGGGGAGGGAGAGAGCACAAACTATATAATTGTAGTGTTAAGATGAACCATTCTACAAATACAGGAGCAAATATATTGCAGTTAAACGTCGTGGCAAGCTTCAAGTAGGCAGAACTGGTTACTATAAATTATGTTTAGGTGGGTAGAAAAAAGTTTAAAGCCAAAAGAAAAATGGTTCAATATTCTCATTTATGTGGCCGCAATAGTGACGAATTTCACAAAATGTGTATTTATTTTACCGAAACTAGTTTGTATAGAATAATACTGTAAATGATATGCGAGAGTCCTTCAAACTGAATGGGGTACGATCGACAAGTACAATGATTATGAAAATTGTAACTTTCTTAAGCTGAAAATGTAAGCAAAATCGGTGGTTACCGAATACCGTTAAATTGAGGCGATTACAATTACTGAAGAAGTATTACTATAATTGAAAATTTCCTAATTGCCCTGTAAAATTTAGGATTGAGGTTGAAATAAATTTGTTGCATTGCTTATGCAGTTTGTACCGCTTTAAATTCGTTAAGTTAATCAGGGTTGCATGTTTAGCTGCGGCCTATGATTTAGTTTTATAGTTTACACACTACAAAGGCTAAGAAACATGTTGTTTTCTATTCTTTTAACTTATTGTGTCTGTTTAATTAATCATGGACTTCCCACTCAAGAACCATGGACAGTTAATATCTACCTCACACTCAAAAACCTTATGATAATTCAAATACTAATTAGAAGAGTGATGGTTACTGAATATTTTAAGCCTATAAGTCGGAATGCTTGCGCATAGTTGGAGCACCGAGATACTTGTAACGAGATCAAAATGACCCCAACCGTATTCATCATAGTCACATCAAACTAGACATGGGCATTGGGCATCACTGTTAAATAATTTAACAGTGTAGTCAAGCCTAGTAATCGTAGTTATCTTATTCAAACTAAATCGTTAGCCTTGAGCCTCCGCCCCTCAGATCACTGGAGCCTAGCCAGTAACCACTGATCCAGGGTCCAGTAGCACAATGACCTCCCCTCCCCTCTCCCTGGATCACACTGAGCAACCCCAAGCTTATGACTATTACATGTTCTACAATTATACAGGTTTCTCACTATTGTCAGTCACGTGACCATAAAGCAAGTATTTTATTGGTGGAGAGAGCGCGAGAAGACACGGTATTGGCTGCTCCAAGCCCCAGGATGTTAGGGAGCTACAAGTACAGAGAGATAATGCATGCGGAGGGGAGCTATCTATTGCATTTGGAGGGAGAGCTATCTATTGCATGCGGAGGGAGAGCTATTGACCTGAGAGAGCTAATAGAGGTTTAGCTGTTTTACATATGCTTATAAGGTTAAGATAACGGAGCCCAACAGGCTCCTCTGTATGCAAATGATACAGAGAGTAGCACATACTGAGTATAACCTTATAACGAGCATTGTTGAGCATGTTGAGGAAGGGACACACAGTGACTATACGAACATTGTTACTGGATACAACGCTTACTTAGATGTTCACTCTTCCCATATACTCATGTATTTATATATTATGATACAAGAGAAACACCACGTTAGGGCGCGAGGAGGATTAAGACTCATCAGAGTGAGAAAACTGGCAATAAATCAAAAAAGTTGTTTATTCAAAGACTAAACAAGGACTGCAAAAGCTAATGTTAATATTTTACTTAAAACTGACAAATTAAAAGGGAGGGTAAAACACGCTATCGATCACAGAGGGCATGTTGAACAAGGCAAGGTATAAATTGCTGTAAAGGGGACAGGTAGGCTCCCCTTAATGGACGTTTATATGTGGAATGTGGATGCAGTACGTGTCACCTGTTATGTGCACAGTTACATATTTACATCACATTCAACGTGTCATGCTGAATTCCTTTGTTATCCACACATGATGTAGGAAAACCGGCAATGATACAAAAAGGTACACGTACTACTACTCTAGGTGCAATTTCTAGAGTCGCGCACTCAAACTTTCTAATAAAGTTATACTGAAGATCATGCTTCCACTTCAGCGGGGGGGGGGGCCACTGCTTCAGTTGCAACACACTTTGAAATCGGATTTAAATTTGTCGTGACATTGCATCTAGAAGAAATAAACAAACTTGGCTTATCTGGTGGATTCGTGTAGTTTTATTGAGTCTCATGATTTGAAGTATTTTAATACTTTAAACACTATAACTATATAACAAATAATTTGAGAATATGAGTATATATGACGTAGGAATGTCGATACGTTATTCAGCTACTTATTTCTATTAGAATCTGTCTTCACTGAGTCTATTCAGAAATAATCAGAAATTTGAATGAAAGAACTATCAAACTTGGCTTACTCAGCTGAGAATTAATGACATGGTAGGTGAGCTTTTTAACTTTATCTGCTTCCCAAATTACCGCGTAAGCAGATAGTAATAGTTCCGGGTAACGTTCTAACGTTCTACTGACGTTTAAAGGAATTACCCGCGGTAAATCGTGGTTTTACTCTATAAATATAATTTACTGCATGGCTGCATACTAATTACTTGTATCACGTGGTGACCCCCACGGTCGCTTCACTATAGTCTTCGACGATACAGGGCCAGGGGAGCCGCGCACTTCGTGCGCGGCGGGTCATACAACGTATGACAACTAATTACTAAGTTAGTATGAGCGCTGGCTAAAAAGTAGAAAATGAGATGTGAGAGCTGATCGAGGAAACAACGACCAGTATACCTTTTTATTTTGATCATCATATTCATTAAATGGAGTTAATTTGTTTATTTTGTTTAACTTTAAGCGCTGCTGAAATATTTTTAATTGTGTTGGATACTCATAACTCCATAATCTCGTTGAACTTTACCTGGGGACCCCATGGGCTATTATGTTTATAAACATAAAGATTCGGCGGAATGACCTAGGCTGAGCGCCGCCCAGTAAGTTGAACTATATTTTTATTTTGTAGTAGAATCTCGTAATTTCGTGTTATACAACCTCCGCAGAGTCATTTAAACTTTAAAAGAATAAAGATTTCACTTCACATGTGCACCATTATATTCTAAATACTTTAATATATTAATTCTCCACGCCCATGATAATTACCATTGCATTTACCACCCAAATATATTTCCCCTACGCACACTTGAAGTTGAACTACTGACCCCAAATAAACATTGTTTAACACACCTCGCTCATCACCAGATTTGTAACAAAAATCCGTTCTCTGAGCTACTCAACCAAATATTTCCAGCTGGAATCGTGTAACCAATCACGGACCTTTCTTACAATCACGTGATCATGCATTTCAGCTAATCAGGGTAGAAGTTGACGGTCATGTGATGGCTGTTAGCACTTAATGTGTAGCAGCGACTGAGTCATGACTAAGGATAGAAGGAGCATTCCGGATACGGTGAGTTTTGTTTCATTTGTAAAACGCTTTACTTGTGAAACTTGACGGGTCCTAAAGATAAAACTGTTTTTTTAAACGATTTTTACTCCGATTGTCCGACACCGTCTGATCGATCAGGTAATTATTTTAAATTTGTTAATTTTGATTTGATAGTTGATACGCTCACGTATATTATTGAGTTACTAGTGTAACCCGTGCCTACGGCCGGGACTTCACTATCGCAGTGGAAATGCAAGAGTATAAACCCGCCTATTATATTTGAAAACACGCATAACATTGTCGTATGAAAGTATGAACTCTCTCTACAGTCCAAACAGACCGCAATGAGTGCAATCTTGTGGCTAATCTAATTATGATTCATGTTCCAACGCTACATAATATGCAGTAATGAGAGAGAGAGCGAGGAGGGAGAGAAAGCGAGGAGGGAGAGAAAGAGAGCCATTTTATGTCACATTTGTGGTACAAAACCATCAATTAAACTACTTACCACCAATTTGAAAAACCTCATTCATTTGGCTTCTTCAGAGTTTTTTCGAAACTATACCGAAAAAACCAGTCCCGTAACTTTTACCGTTTTCTTGATTAAGCCGCTTGGAAATTACACGCGCACAGACAGACACACAGACACACCTTCTGAGATTATTGTTTAAGATTGGATACAACTTCAGAGTCAAATCAGCTAATTTTATTATTGAGTGATTTCTATCTTCATCATTGTGGTCGTCGTTTTATAGATACTATCAGCTCCCAGCTAAGCTATTAAGTTAAGTTAAGTTAAGATAAAGCCTCACACCATTATAATGCACTAAGAATTAACGATAGTTCCCACGTGTTTACACACACTTGTTTACACACACTTGCTAAATGTAATTGTGTTTGTTAAAGCAGAC